GAAATTTTTTTTAAAAAAAAAAAAAAAAAAAAAGAATAATCTCATAAACAGAAAAAAAAAGTAACAGAAATATTTAAAAGTAAATTGAATATTCTCTCTTTCTAGTCTCTTTCCACAACAGTATTAAGTGTTAGGGAAATGTTGTTGCCTGATGGGGTGGTGCACACCTGTAATCCCAGCACTCAGCAAGCTGGGGCAGGAGGGTCATGCGTTTGAGACCAGCCTGATCTACATGGCAAGGTCCTCTCGGCCAGGGCTTTAGCTAAGTTCTGCCACACTGCCTTGCAAACACAGGGTCCTGAATTCTATCCCTGGTACCAAAAAACAAAAACAAAACAACCCAAAATAATCCTCTCCAAAAATATCATGATTGTGGAACATGTTTTAGGAATGTAGTTTTTTCCTTAATGTCTGATTTTAAAAAAAATTTTTTTTAAACAGACAAGCTGTAACCCTTCACGTGCCTTACCTTTGCTCAGTACTGGCAGCTCTCCCCCGAGGCGGGTGGAGGATCCTAATATCATCTTCCAGAGCTTTCTGCAGCGGGCTACAAATAATCAGTTGGATTCTTTGATGGGCCTAAGCAACTCACCCCTGATGCAAGACAGTGTCATCATCCCATGTGAATTTTGTGGGGTGCAGCTGGAAGAAGAGGTGCTATTCCATCATCAGGTAAGGGCCCATGGAGGACTCATTACCTGGCACCTCTGTGCTGATCTGTGAGTGCAACAGGCTTCCCAATCCAAGGATGCTATTTTAGCTTTGAAGGTTGCATTCCGTCCTGACTGGGAGTCCACACACATGACTTGTGGCCATGCCTTGTCCTGAGAACCAACTACTTGAGGTACACAGTGCTTCAGGCCTGAGACTTGCTCTGTCTTCTAGCATCTGAAACCACCATGTCAGTAGTTAAGGATTCAAGAGCCGGGACGTCATTAGAGCAGGGGCCGAGGCCTTGCCAGACAGGTGAGATGAGAGTCTCCCTGAAGTCACTGATGCATTCTGTTTGCCCAGGCAGATTCTTACCATATGGTGTCATTTGACACTTGCATTTTAGGAGGCCTGGAAGTCCAGTTCTGCCTTTGCCCTCTGATGGGCCTTGGGTTCCCTCTTCCTGGAGAAAACTATAAATGAGAGAGTTGGACTAGATAATCTGAAGTCATTTTTCAGCTTTTCCAGTCTTGGGCTCCTGTGTATTAGTGGAAAATACATTTTCTGCCTAATCTTGTTATGAGGAGCTACTGAAGGTATCATTTCTGCCAGGTGTGGTGGCGTATGCCTTTAATCCCAACACTAGGGAGGCTGAGGCAGGAGGATCCCTGTGAGTTCAAGACCAGCCTGGGCTACATAGTGAGTTCCAGGTCAGTCTCAACTACATGTGAGACCCTGTCTCAAAAAAAAAAAAGATACCATTTCCTTCATTGATGTTAGAATATCATACATTTCATTTCTGTAAGAAACAGTTTTGCTTTTGTATCAAGAAATAGACCAGTAACTGCTGGTCACCTGCTACAGGAGGCTGTGGAATAAGCCAGCACAGATCTACTGTGGTCAGAGTACAGATGCGCTTTACTGGGCTTCTGGGACCAGCTCTTCTCTCATCTCTGGCCAGATCAGAAAGGGCTTCTGCCAGTGCCTCAGGAGCTACCTGGAGTGGCTTCTCCATTCCAGGGGTGCCCAGGATTTTCTTAGTGATTGTCAGAGTCTCCTTCCAGATGGGCGGTGATCAACCCTTCTGCTTTTCTTCCCTTTTCAACACTCTCTGTTCTAAGGTATTAATTCTAGTTTTTCTTGTTTAGGACCAGTGTGACCAACGTCCAGCTACAGCCAACCACCATGTGCTGGGGGGAATTCTTCGACAGGATTCCCAGCCTCATGAGACCTCCCCAGAGCTGCGCAGGAGGCGTGTCAGACACCAGGGTAGGAGCCAGGGCCGCAGTCCACTTTTCCCTTGCTCACCTGCCCTAATGGGGCCCCCGCATCTTAGGTTACCGAGCATACTGGGTTCTCTGGGAGCTCCTTCAGCCTAGTTGTGGTCTCACATTAGACTGAGCCTGCTGAGTGGATTTAGGTGGGAATAGTTTCAAGAACAAGTGTGACACACTTGTGCTCAGTGCTTATACGCAGTAGGCTGTCTGTGCACTTCACTATTATTAAAGGGCACCATGATTAGGCACGTATACTGTTAAAAAATTATTAGAAAGGCACCCTAGAAACTATTTCAAGCTTCGCTTGTACACTTGCTGAACAGTTGGGCTGTGTTTGAGGACTCAGGTAATTAATGTGCAGTGGAGACAGAGTGTTCTCAATTCTCTCTGGGGTTATGGCCGCCAGTAGCTTAATTTAGGGGTGAGTACTGTAGTTGTTTTGTATCCAGAACTTGTCCCTGTCTTCCCTGAATCCACTAATAGCAAGAGCAGATTTTTCCCTAAAGCTGTTATTCTTTTCTCTTTCCAGGAGACCTGTCTTCTGGATACATGGATGTTATCAAGCAGGAAGCAGGAAAAGGACCCACCTACCCTCTATCCCCCAGCAGACCCATTAATAATATGACAGCCAGCTGTAACCGACTGTCAAAAGCCACCTCAGCCCCCAGACCTGGGTGCCAGCCCAGCCCTCCTCGTGTGTTGAAGCTCAGCAGTTCAGACAGCCAGGACATCCAGGGGCAGAATCTAAGTAGCCAGAGTGGGGCCCAGGCTGCTGGGTCTGCTCCAGTGATACACTCTGTGCGCAGTCTGTATCCGGAAGACCTCACGCCCACTTTCTCCCAGGAGCCTGCAGGGAGATACAGAGCTAGGTGAGAACAGGCCTGAAAATGGAGCTTGGTGTCCTGCGGAGAACGTGGGTACACAGCCTGGGCCCACTAGCTTAGCCTGGATGAGGCTGAGGCCCATGGGAAGGGGCCTAGGACCCAGGGTTTCATGCAAGCGGGGCACCTGCTCTATCACTGATGAGCTACATCCCAGCCCATGGAGAAGGGTTCAGGTTTTACCTGTGTTGTTACTGTTTCTAAAGAATTCTTTTGCTGTCGGTGGGTTTTGTTTTGTCTGCTAGTGGAGGGCTGTTTGTGACCTGGTAAAAGTTGTATTTTGTTCCCTCTGAAGTTTTGAACCTTTGCTCAGGGAGTTTTCATTTTTCATCCTTTTCTTTGGTAGGAGTGAAGGTGGCAGGAGCTCCCGAGCCACCCCTGCAGCCACTAACTACCGCAGCAGAACTGCAAAGGTAACCTGGGGCTGAGCCCACAGTGTTCACATGTGGCTGGGGCAGCTCGTGGAGTCTGCAGTTGCTGGGATTGTGCTGGTTCTGACTAGACGTCTGGGTTCCAGGGATGAGTACTGCCCTTTTACTTCTGTGTAACGTTTCCGTTTGTTCTTCAATAGGCCAAGCCCCCAAAGCAGCAGGGAGCTGGAGATGCGGAGGAGGAAGAGGAGGAGGAGTAATGGTGTCTGCGGAGAACCCTCAGCTGGGTCCCTACCTTCTATGCATAGCAGCTCTTGCCATGGGTCAGGCCCCACCTCCCTGGCACTTTAGGCAGGGAGATTTTCCACATTTTTAACTTTTTCTAGGTTATGGCCATTCTGTGTCTTTTGAGATTGTGTTGTGAGAGTTTGGGGTTGGAGGGAGGGTTAGGGAGACCGTTGGGGGCCATGTTTCAGCCTTAGCTGCCAGGTTGGGCAGCGGTGATCACACAAGTTCTGGCCTCTCCGCCCACCAGGGCTCTACCTTCTGAAATACCATCACCACTGCTTCTTGGTGCTTTGTGATTCTGGTGGAAGGAGAGGAGGGTTCCGGGATTCTGACTTCCCTGTGGGGCCACTCAGTGGGGCGTCTGGGTTTCCCTGCCTGCTTCAGACTCTGGGCCTCCAGTGGGTGGAGCAGCTCTGTGAACGCGCTTGGCCGGTGGTGCTGTAGGGAGACGGTCTTTGGAGATGAGTTGACCCGGGACTGGGGTGTGTTTGAAGCTGCTTCCTTGTTATTTGGTGTCACTCTGCTCTTGGTATTGTGGCCCCTTTGTCCTCACTGTCTACTGTGGAGAGGGTAAGGGCTGCCTGTCCCGCGCTTCCTCTGAAAGCCAAATGTGCAGAGCCTCTTTCCCTTCTTTTTATTTTACTATTGTAATTATTTCAATCTCCTTGTAATAGAAATAAAATTTGTACTTGGAGTTCAGCTAAGTCTTGTGCTTCCTTCTCTGAGCTCTCTGTGGAGACCCCAGGGAAGCCAGCAGAGGCAGGAGTGGCCTGGGTTGGGAGGTAAACAGGGCCTCCTGCAGGGTGCCTGTGCCCTCGCAGCTCCAGCCTGCAGTGCACAGGACATTTAAGGCATGGCACCCTTACTCGGCTGGACTTCTGAGGAAACAGGTTGTGCAGCTCCAGTGAGAGATCAGAGTCTCCAAACACCTTAATCCTGAGAGTGGTCGGGCACAGCAGGCCATCTCCTTCCCCAGTTGCTTCATGCTTTCCACAGCGCCATCTGGGACCCACTGTCATTCGCAGCTCACTTGTCCAATGCCCTGGTGGGGATGGCAAGGCTTCCTCTTCTTGCAGGGCCGGAACTCTGCAAGGAATTAGCCTGAGACGCTAGACCAGAAAAGGGTTGTACTGTGGGGTCCCAGATTCCTCATGTGTCGGGGCACTTAGCTCCGGGGAGCCTTCCTGACTCAGCTGGAAGCAGCCAGAGGACCGAGGACGCGTGCGTGCGGGGCTCTGGTGGTCTGGAAAGCCCGTGGGACTTGGAGGTGGCGGGAGGGACCAGGGCAGTGGTGACAGTCTTCCCCCGTCTGCCGGAGAGCAGTCCTATTACCTGGCACTGCTCTGGGATATAGTGAGACCTTCCGGGCAGTATTGAAACTCCTGTCTTCCTGTGTTGGATTAGATGTGAATAACACGGGGCTGATTTATGTTTTTTATTAAAATATGATTTATAATGTTTTGCAATGGATATACTTTTAAAATTAATACTTTTTAAAGTATTATATATAACTAAACCAAATACAGCTACAAAGTTAAAAATAAAACTGTTTTCTTCTAAAATCCCTTCCTAAGAGTTGACTGCTTATAGATTTTTTTGTTTTGTTTTGTTTTTGGTACTGGGGATCGAACTCAGAATTTTGCACTTGAGAGGCAGGTGGTGGAACCACTGAGCTAAATCCCTGGCCCGACTGCTTGTAGTTTTAAGCTTTTGTTTCTGGTACTCTCTGCCATGTTTCCAGATCACCCATCTGGTGTACTTTTCCCTCCGCTTGAAGGACTAATTTAGATTTATTGTAGTACAGGTGATCAGTTAAATTTTTATTTTTCTGCTTCTTTTTTTTGATACTGGGGATTGTACTCAGGACCTTGTTCTTGCCAAACAGACGCGGTGCCACTGAGCTAAATCCCAGGCCTGGTTTTTGGTTTTTAATGTCTTCTTTAAATTGCCCACCCTTGACCCCCTAGGCTCAAGCAGTCTGTCCTCAGGCTCGTGAGTACTATGATGCACTATTATGCCTGGCTGTCACTTTTTAAAAATTGGGGTAAAATACATAAAATATGAAACCTAACATTTTAATCATTTTAAAGTCCAGACTACAGTGACACTAAGTGTACATTACTCACCAGCTTGCAGCTATCACTTCTACTTCCAGAATTTTTATCCAAAAGAAAGTCTCAGTACCTGTAACCACACCCCAACCACAAGTTCCCTTTGTCCAGCGGGTTTGCCTCTCCTCTGTCTCACTGTTTGAAAGGTATTTTTAAATAGAGTTCTAAGTTGATAGCCTTTTTTCTTTCGATAGTTTAATGTTGATCCACTGTCTTCACATTTGTATTCCTCCTAGTGACAAATCTCTGTCTTTGATTCTATGTTCCTGTTGTGGGAGGGAGGGTATTACTGTTTTGTTTTGTTTTTGTGGTATACTGGGGATTGAACCCAGGGCCTTTGCACTGAACTACATCCCAAGCCATTTTTGCTTTGAGACAGGGTCTCACTAAGTCAGGCACTTGCCTAGCCAGGCTTGGGAGGGGTGCCACTTACTGATTGAGGCGGGGTCTCACTAAGTAGTTCAGGCTGGCTTTGAACTCATTATGTAGCCCAAGCTGGCCTCAAACTTGCAGCGAACCTCCTGCCTCAGCCTCAGGTTTGTGCCACCATTCCCCAGTAATACTTTTTCTTGTACTTCTGTGGCATAGTATTGTTTTGGATATCTTCTCTCTGCATTTCTGTTTCCGGGGAGTTTGGGCATTTTCTGCTGCAGACACTGCCTCAGCCCATTGGCACTTGGCTGTGTCTGGAGAGCGGTGAGCATCTGCAAGTCTTCTCAGGCTTAGTTCAGAGAAAGGTCTGCCATGCACACCTGGAGTGGGGCCCGGGGTGTTTCGCTGGTGGACTTTAATTTTTGTCCCAATTTTCAGTCTCATCTTTCCCCTTCCCAAGGGTCTGAAGGATGGAATTGTGAGCTTGTGAGGTTTTTCTCCACCATATAAATTCTGATCTTATTTCTTGGAACGTGTGGCCTCAAATTCTACCCTTCAAATTTTTTTTTTAATTTACTTTTTAAAATTTTTGGGGGGTATCAAACTCGGTAGGCGGCAGAACCACTGAGCTAAATCCCTGGCCTTTTTTTTAATTTAAAAAGAGTGCAGATAATCTTGCTTTCTGTTACAGTATCCTTTGACTAAGTCGTTTATTTAGTGCCAGTAGTGATTGGACCCAGGACCATCACACTTTCCAGGTCTTTTTGAGATAGGGTCTCAGTAAGTTGCCTAGACTGGGCTCAGGCTTAACAAAATGATCCTCCTGCCTCAGCCTCCCAGAATACTGGAATTACAGGTATGTGTGTCGCCATGTTCTACTTACGTTATTTTTCCATCCACAGTCTTCATTCAGAAATTATGGGTTAAAATTAGATTTGGGGCCGGGGATTTAGCTCAGTGGTTCTACCGCCTGCCCCACAAGTGCAAGGACCTGAGTTCGATCCCCAGTACCCACCCTCAAAAAAAGATTTGGCTCCATAAGGACAGAACATGTGTTATTGATTTCCTCTAAGATATCTTTCAGCAGAGTGATAGGTGCATGGAAGTGTGCAACTCGGTGTGAACACAACCCTGCCACCAACGCCAGATCGGGGACCATTACTAAGACACTGCAGCCTTGCTGCTCCCCAGCCAGTCCCACTCCGAGGCAGCCGTCCCTCTGCCCTACCTCAGTGGTCTGGCCTCTCCGTGGACAGCGTTGGCATGTGCTGCTCTAGTGGCGTAGTCTGCCGTACACTTTGTCACTGAGCCGCAGGCTCACAGGTAGGTGTTTGTTGGGTTTGTACTAGGAATGGGGTTGATGGTGTCAGCAATGTGGTGGACCATGACAGGTGTAGGTGGCACTGTCACAGTGCGTGTTCCAGTGGCTCCCTCACCTGCTAGTGGCGACTTGGTGTCTGCTGGTGACTAGAGAGCTTGTGTCCTCTCGTCATTGGGCGGTGTGCGGCACTTGGTGTGGAGGTGGAGCGTCCTTGCCCTGCACGGTGGGCAGAGCTCAGGCCTCACCCTGGCTGCTTGACACTGCGCCATGGGCTTTGTGCTGCTCTGTCCCTCACAAGACACTCAGGACACTGCAGCCTTCCTTAGGTGCAAGGGTGGAGCGGAGAGGAGGAGGAGGGAGTGGCCATGTGCGGCTCTCAGCCGAGCTGGAGAGGCCGGCTCAGGAAGAACTGAGCTGGTCCTTCCGATGGAGACAGCAAGCTCCGGGGCTGGGGGGCTGCCCCGAAAGAAGGGGGCGCGGCCACACCCTTCCCTCCTGTGGATGCTGGGCCGGGCAGGTGAGCTTAGGGAGCAAGAACCATGTCAAGTGCAAACTGAGATAATTAGAAGCATTTTAATTCCCAGCCACTTGGTGGCACTCAAGTATCAGCCGGCCAGGGCGAGCCTTTGGATGACACACTCTCGGGTCAATCAGAATTAGATGAAGGTTATTTATTGGTGTCACTTTGTCCTGCAGTGAGCTTTCTTTACACAGCATGGTGTAAATAGCATCAGATTGAATGAAAAGTCTGTTAAACGCAACCATAAATAATTATAATAAATATACATCAAGTAACTTTACAGCACACATTTTTAGGGCCAAGGTCTGGATCTGTCTGGACCTCGCTGTGCTCCCTGGGAGGAGCAGCTGAGCTAGCAGCAGATACCACATCTCACTCACAGCTGTCGCTATCACATGATGGCCCACCGAAGCTTCATGAACCCCTCGGGAGGTGGCCCACAGAATCCCAAGTCCATTTGCAGGATGAGGGTTTTCGGGAACCAGGAATTCAAGGACACAGGGAGGGAAATCACCTCTAGTGAACTCAGAGGATCTTGCATTATGCACAAAAGAAATCAGAGGATCCTTGTTTCAGGAACACAGTCCTGATGTGACCCCCATCGAGGGGGCTGTGGCCCCGGGGAAGCAGCGGTGACCACCTTCCTGCTTGTGGCGCTCGCCTGCAGGGGACGCCAGCACCGTGTGGCTGATGGCAACCATCAGTCTTGGCCTTGCGCTCTCAGGGAACCTCTGCATCTCCTAAGCATACGGAGGGGATGGCTGCCCGCATGCCGAGGTGGCCAGGCCCCACAGAGGAGGAGTGCGTCCTCCCACTCAGCCTCGCGGACGGCGTCACTCAGGACTCCCTTGTGCAAACTGTACGATAAACACCGCGTCTCAGATCAGGAGAGCTGGTGAGGCCTGGAACGACAGTGTCCAACAAGATGGCGTGTGCTGCTCAACAAAGTACCACTGGACAAGGACTCACTTGGGACACAGATGTACTGGGCAGTGGGCGAACCTGGCACACACATGTAACTGGGGACATGAGGGTCGTGGGGGCCGAGGGGCCCTGGGGTCTGCATGGACGGGACGGTCTGGGGCTGTGGCCACCTCCCCTCAGGCCGTGCTGAGCACAGAGTGTGCGGCCTTGGTCCTGTGCTTTCCTCTCCCGCAGCTTTAGAGAAGGCCCCACCCGAGCACAGTGCCTCCAGCTCCGTCCTCTCCTGCTGCTGGGACACAGCCAGCCTGTCTTCACGGACTAAGGCCAGGAGTGACCCAAAGGGTCCTTGGGGACACTCGGATCGGGCCCAGAGGATGCGGGCAGCAGAGAGCCTGACTGCGGGAGGGACAGGGTAGCCCTGTGGGCAGATCCTGGGGGGGAGACGGACACTGATGCTCCCTGCGTCCTGTGTCAGTCTGGGCACTGGCCCCGCCGCTTCAGGGAGGGAGGAGGCTGGCAGGAGGGCAGGGCTGGCTGTGTGTGGCCCTGGTTACCACCATCTTCCTGCTAGGTGGTTCTCCAGTGAGGGACCAGCTGGGGCCTTGTGGCGTCAGAGTCTGGTACCCCTGAGGGACACTGTCCAGGAAGAGCAAATGAGACACAAACTGGGAACAAAACTATCCTACAAATATACCACAAACAGGCTGCAAAAAGAACCAACCCATCACAAAACATACAGATACAAAAGGGTAAGTCTTCCAGGGGCCCTGGGATGCGGACAAACTTCAGAAAAGTAAAATGTTGCCGACTCCTCCCTCAGAGTGCCGGAGGGACGTGGCCACGGTGGCCGGCTTCCCAGGCCGGCAGAATGGGTGCCTCGGTGACAGCCTAGCTCTCAGGCTGTTCCGTCAGCCACTCAGGGGGTCCTCGCGGTAGTGAACGGCACAGCGCAGTCTCTCCAGCATGATCTCCAGGGAGGAATACTGGGGAAGCTTGATCATGAACATGCAGGTCTCCACGCGGATGTAGCGAGAGTCTGGGGAACCTGTGCAACGGACCGGGCTAGCGTTAGGGGCCAGGGCCTGCGGCTGCGGGGTGACAGGGCGGGCGGGGCCTGGCAGTCTGCCGCAGGCGTGTCTGTTTGGTCAGCAAGAGTTTCTGTTCTTTTTCTACATTTAAAGATAGGTGCTTAAGGGCTGAGGACATGGCTCAGTGGCAATACACATGCCTAGTAGGTCCAAGGCCCTGGGTTCAATCCTTGGTACACCAAAAA